ACCTGGCAGCTGTAGGATCTTGGGGGGCGGTGGGGGAAGGTCACTAACACTAAGACAATGCTTAGGGTAGAGTTTATTTCATCCAAACAAAAGTAAAACTCATGCAGCTTTAAGGCAGATGCTCCTGAGTTTGCTGCACTTTTAACGGGACATAAAAATGGTGAAAAAGTTATACTTTTGTGCATTATAAAGCTTTGGTGTCCCTATGTAATTCCATGAGAAAGCAACACCCTAAAAGGATTTGGATGCAACTGTGGAGAATGGTATATGTTCTTCACTGATGAGGGGCTCCATTACCGCTAATAGTTCTAGGGTAAGTGGAACAAATGTGTATAGTAGCATGGAGACAAGGTATGTGTGGAAACAGTACAGATGTGATCCAGCACTGCTACAGGAAGAGCTCTTTGGGAAGAATAAGGGGGAAGAAGAGTAAAACAAGCTGCTAAACAAAAAAAGGGAGTAGGAGGGAGAGATTATCTGCTTTTTATCCAACCTCCCCTTAAAAACCTATCCATTTCCAACCTTGACTACACCTGAGCTGCTTGTTCATGCCCATAGCTATTTCTCAGAGGCATCATCATGAGCAGCAGCACAGTGAAATAGACATGACCCTCGGTCACATTGTTTCTGGCAAACCACTTGCAGAGTACTAGAGGCAGGAGAATCAATTGCATTCTCCTGGTAGCTATAGTATAGGGGCAAAAGATACTTAGGACAGGACAGGAAAGAAGATACAGACTTCTCCCCCTCCTCCTACATAACATACTCAGCAGCGGCAGATCACATCTGTACTCCACCAGTAATCCAGGAATGTAGGACAATCACGTCAGTTATCTCCAGAGCTGCGTCTTCTAGGGACAAGAGGGAAGCATTATGGGAGAGCTGAGCAGTAATACAGACATGATCCTTGCTGCAATTGTCTCTCAATCTCATAGTAAATTTAAATTCCTCTGACACTGATAACTGTGACTACAGCCCTGCAAATCTGCCGGTATCCGCTTTATATCAGTGGACCATTTTTGCGGATAGCATCGTGGATGCAGATACAAATTTTGTATCTGTGCAGAGCTCTGTCAGTAAGAGCCATGCAGCCGCTGTGAGGAACTGCGGTGCAGACCCTCCACCCGCCCTGGGCAGGGGACTGGGACATGGGTTCGGGGCTGTTCAGGCCTCTCACCCAGGGCAGGTGCAGGGTCCGCCGTGGCTCCCCACACTGCCCAGCCGGCTCTTACCATGGCCAGGCTGCGGCTCCAAGCTGCCCCCGCCCAAGCCGGGTCAGGGAGAGCCAGCTGGCAGCAGTGGGGAGTCTGGGTCCCTCTACCTGCCCTGGGTGGGAGAGCCTGAGGGGTAGGGAAACTGGGTGGGCTCCCAGCCTAGGGCAGGTGGAGGGACCCAGATTCCCCACAGCTGCCAGCCTGGCTCTCACCGTGGCTGGGCTACGGCTCCGAGCCGCCCCCTCCCCCCGCCGGAGCACCATGCTGACAGCTGTAGGGAGCCTGGTTCCCTCCACCTGCCCTGGGCGGGGGGCCTGAGCAGCGGGAGTGGGGGCTGAGAACAGCCCACGGCCATGTCCCTGCCTCCCAGGCTCCCTGCCTGGCTGAAGGCAGGTGGAGGGTCCGTTACTCCGTGCGGGCTCCTCACAGCTGCTCACGCAGCTCTCCCTGACCGTGCTCCAGCGGGGGCTGCCTCGGAGCCGCAGCCCGGACAGGGTAAGTAGAGCCCTGCAAATCCGTGGATAGCTGCAGATATCTGCATCTGCGGACAATTTTTGCGGATCGGCTGCAGATATACATTTTTGTATCCATGCAGGGCTCTAACTGTGACTACAGTTCTTAGAACATCTATTACTGTAGTTATCCTCTATTGCAGACATAGCACAAATATTGTGTTTTCTCAGTTCTACTATAACATGGCTTTTCTTTGTTAGTTTCTTTGAAAAACAGGAAGAGTTCAAAGGAACTACTATACATTTAGATTCTAAAGAGTCTTATACTATCAAAATGCAACAACTTTAACACAGGCAAAATATTTTGGTCTAAAAAATTGGAGGCAAAATTATATTTAAAACATTTCCAAAAATATTATCTCCTATAGGTCTCCACATATTACCAATGCATATTCTAAAATACCCTGCTTAAATAAATAAGTCTACATTTATACTGACAAAGCAAATGTCAGCCCTGGCTAATACAGCAAGTGCTACAGAAAAACAAAGCTGATACTAAAGAAAGGATTCCATATCACATTCTTACATACAAATACAAGAACTTTTTAATATCCACTTTCAACTCTGCTCTCTCCAATATTGGGAATGAGATTTTTTTTCTTGTACAGATAAAAGCAGTTGGTGGAGGTGAACAAGTGCAGGATCACTACTTTTTAATTAACCTATCAGGCTGCCTACTAATCAGGTGCAGTTATCTTCTCTGCAGAAGCCTGCATGTCCTGGAGCCCATGATTTTCCACCAGGGAACAATCATGAAGGCAACAGCCACTCCCCCTATAAAGCACAGAAATCAATTAAAAAAACAAGAGAAAGAAAGTAAAGAAATATATAAAAAGGGAAACACTCTACCAGCTTTCATGTTTACCCTGCTCAATTTTTTACTCTTTCTTGGGCCAACTTCCAATTTGATTAAAGATATGATTTAAGTACGATTTCCCCACATCATTAATAAAATGTTAACTTAACTAGATGGGCCAAAACAAACATCTTGAACTCAAACTGCATTTCAAGTTTCAGTGCGTGGGGAGGTGTTCAGATCTGAATCTGACATTCTGGTTTTGGTTATAGGCTGGATCCAAAACTGGAAGGGACTTATTTTGCAATTCAGGTGCAGCAAAAATCTCCTCAGAAAAGCCACTCTCATACAATGTCCTCTCAAGATAGCACCAATCTCTGGAGAACAGCTCATCTTATAAGATTTTCACCATCTCTAGAACAGCTCAAGATTTCTGTACCATCAGATCTGAAACTTAGCCCTGATTTGGCACTGACCTTGGAACCTAGTCTAAACTCTACCAGGATCTTCCAGACACCGCTTCTTCAGCCATCTAATACTTTCACAAACTGTGACTTGTCACCATGCATTTCTCTTCCCAAGCCCCACAAGTCTCTCCAAACTGCTTGGATTCCCTCAAGATCCCAAACATATTTCTCTAGGTTTATTCTCAATTTCAGAATCCTACCTAAAGCTATTTTTCAGTGAAGGAAATAAAATCTGCAAATAGCACAGTAAAAAAATAGAAGGCTGCAAAAGGAATTCAGGGTTTACTTCCAATAAATACATTTGGGGAGGCACTTTTACTTTAAATACTTTGACACCACTCTCATTGCTTTATAAAGAGCATACTTGTTATATGATACAACAATAACCTTGTTCAGTGGTTACTTTCTCTTCACACCAAGTTTGTATATATAGTAAATAATATTTTACATTTATATAGTATTTGGCACCAGAAAAGATCCCAGGGAGCTTTACAATGAACAAGTATTTGTAGCACCGTCATGCCCACCTCAAAAGACAACCACATGAAAAGAGCAAAAATGTGACTTTAGAGGATAAACTAAAAATGATGGGGGGGAGGGGAGACGCCAGCAGAATAACTGAAGTGGAAAGCAACAGAGGGTCCTGTGGCACCTTTAAGACTAACAGAAGGTCTTAAGAAGTGAGGTTCTTACCCACGAAAGCTTATGCTCCCAATACTTCTGTTAGTCTTAAAGGTGCCACAGGACCCTCTGTTGCTTTTTACAGATTCAGACTAACACGGCTACCCCTCTGATACTTGAAGTGGAAAGGAAGCTGTTTAACCTGAACACCAGCATCCTGAAGGGGCTGCTGACCAATGAAGAGCCCTATGTTACCAGTGTGACAGGTTCGGTCACAGAGACCCCCTTGGGACTGTCACCTGATGTGCTGAATTTGCCTCTGAGCCAGTTTTCCCTGCCATCTTGGGACTCCAGAACCCTGCCTTGCTGAGCCAGACACGCTAGCCAGCTGCAAACACAGACCCAGGTCTGGTCCACACTCCCAAAACTGCAGACTTTAACCAAAAACTGCTCAGCAGGTCACCTATCTCATGCTTATCTTTAGTGTATTACAAATAAAACAAACAATCAATAAGTATGGTTCACATTTTCCCGTACCAGATCGGTTTTGCTTAGAAGACCAAATAACTCTATACTGAGACATTCCAAATAGGAAACGGCAGCTACTTGAACACACATATGGCAAAATAATGTCAAACAGCCAACTAGAAATCCAAGATGCTCATCACTTCACTTGTCACGAAGGTCCCGGAAGTCACAGATTCCATGACTTTCAGAGACTCATGTGATATTTTCCACTTCAGCCCTGTGCTACTGACACTGGCGGGGGGGGCGCAAGGAGCCCTGAGCTGCCATGAGCGGTGGGTGCTGGATTCCCCCTCTCCCAGCAGCAGGTCTCAGTCTCTCATCCCCCACCATGGGGTTCAGGCTTCAGTCATCCCTCCGTCAGGCCCCACCCAATTAGTCTTAGCAATTTTATTTCTTAAAGTATTTTAAAAGCGTTTTAGCTTCTGTGAATTTTTGTTTATTACCCACGACCGGTGACTTTTACTAAAAATAACTGTGACAAAATCTTAACCTTACTGGTAGGATTTTATATGTCTTCTCACATTTAACGAGCTTCCAGTGCTTCATACTAACCAAATATAGCAAAATTAACTAAAGTAACATTGCCATGCAAATACACCAACTTTGATGGCAAAAAGAAGTTGCCATTAATTCAATCTCTGAAAGAGATATTCTGAGTTAATTCCTTAGCAGGAGTTGTCAGATATCCATGGTGATCAAGTTATAGAGTAAGTACACAGAAAGAAAATAATGAACCAAAGTTTTAGAAAACAAAGAACAGTGCTAGAGACAAAGACTGTTATGAAGAACAAAAGATAAGAATTGTGCTTCAAAGTAGCTGCTCAACAAAAAATGAGACAAATTAAGATGAAATGTAACTTACTGGTAAGGTCCCTGGTAGAGAAGCATCAAAGAAAGATACCAAAGAATTAGGTGGTGCTGCAAACTGGACTTGGGAGCCAGAGAAAAGCTTTGAGTTGGAACTGATCTGTGCATGAATTTCCAGACCCACCACTGCTACCCATGGAGCAACACTGAAAGAGAGGGGGAAAGCAAATATGATTAGCATATACTCTATTAAACCTCCATAAACTTCTAAACACTACAAGACCAAAAAACCCTTGCAATACCATGTGGTAGTACTGCGCTGCTGATCCATAATAAATATTGAAGGGAAATATGAGGCAAACTTTTTCATTATATACAGGTAGAGGATGATAAGTAGGAACAATTATATAAGTAGAAAAAAAATAAAGGTCTAAATCCGTGAAATCTTACTCATATGAGTAGCATCAATAAGGCAAACCAATATGAGTAACAGCTTGCTTGATCAACCCCCAATTTTATACCCAACAGAAATTTTAAATATGAATTGCATTTCATGTACTTTGATAAGTCTCCAACAAACAGGTGGCATATCAATTATGTATACATTGTCAGCTAATCACTTGCAAGTTGGAAAAGGTTTGTACTGTATTAGCATAAACATTAGTAGTCTGATAATAAAAAAATCATAATGTCCACTGGAGAGCAACTGCTCTCTGAACATACTCCGCAAGAATGAGCTTCTACATATCATCTGAAAAGTAATTGCAATTCTCACATCCATAACCTTTACATAGGCAAGAGATGGGGGTCAGCTTCACAGTGTGAATTGCTTGACAGTTTCTGTGAGTAATTATCTGGCCTTGTACAAATGAAGTGACACAAATATAGTATTTCACTGGTGAAGTCAGGTTTGTATAAAAAGATACTAAAGCAATATTAAGTACCTAGATGTAGTCGATAACTGGGCTATGGAAAAACATTGAACAAATACATCAAATACAGCATTTCTTTCAAAAGTGAACACAATAAGCTTGAGCTGTCAAGACTTGAGTTCAGGGTTCTGTCTCTCTCCTTCAACCACTGACTACATCACTACCAAAAACTGAGTAATGGGATGGAAATATTGTCACTTAGGATTATTTTCAGGAATTTAAATAAAGTATTTTACAACAAATAGTTTTTCTCCATGTGTTGACTGAGATTACAAAATCATAGTTGTAAAAACAAGGCTCATTAGCTATGTTTCAGACAGCAGGTAGAATATCTAAGGCCCTCAATCCAAAAACTCTTACAGGTGCTTAACTTTACTACTTTGAGAAATCCCATTGATTTCAGTGGGAACGAAATTAACAAGACAACTCATGACAGTAAAGTTAAGCACATGAGTAAGAGTTTGCATCATTAGGGCACCTAACTTTGCTTTCATTATTTATGCTGTTTTCTTTCTGCATTTATCTCAACAAGGAATCATATTGGACTGGCTTGTGGTGGCTTGGTAGGCAGTTACTTGTTTATGGTGGCTGCAGTGTTATGCTCCAGAAGTTCAGGTTTCATTTAAAAAAAAAAAATTAAGTACTGTATCTAGCTATTAAGTTTGAAACCAATGATATTTGCCTGTATCTGCAGAAGACCTGAAACAATAGCTCTGATGAATGTGGACAGCTTGCACTCATGTGAACAGAATCTTAATTTTGAATCAATTATGTCAATTTTAATATCAACATTAAACTACTTCATTGCTGATCAAAGTACACACAAAAGTAGAGGTATGACAAAATTACAAGTACCTGCACAATCTACTGAGAGTGGCATCTCATTTCTTTGTTGTGAATAGGTGGAAATTTAGACTACCTCACTTACCACCTCCCATTTCAACCTCTGATCTCAGTTCAGACTCTGAAAAACAACTGATCTGTTTAATTTGCGTTTATAGCCTGTTTCTAATCAATTTCACATACTATACTGCAATGTTTGGTTTGCAAACACTGCAGAAAAATAATTGCTTAAAATGATTTTCACTAGGATTTTCAAGTATTTCATGGAAATATTTCCATGACTCAAGTTTGGAAAAAGCTTATTTTTACCTAAATTTTGGGCATACTTTGACCTGAAAATATCCCCTAAAAATCTCCCTTCTAACATAGGTGTTTTTTTCCCCCAGAAGCTTTCTGCATTAAGGCCCTTATCCTGCATTCAGATGCACAGTCAGAGCCTTGGTTTCCACTCAGGTGCAAAGGTCTCTACATGAACATCAGATTGTATCAGAGCTGCAACTTCCCTGAACAGGAAGACTCCACAATTCTGTACAGTGCTTTATCTATATAGGTTTATCTAAGAAGCCAATCACTGTAGCATACAACTGCACCTGATGCCGATGTTAAATAATGTTTAAATTATCAACTGGTGCAGGAAAATCACAAACCCGAATTCAAATCCTGGCAGGTAGTGAGCTTCCAAAATCTCCTTTGATTCTGAAAGTTCTTAAAAACCAGTTATTTTGGCAACAGGAATAAGATGTTCTAGTGTCTGATCTACTAGAACTGGTGGGAAATTGGGAAAAGGGAGGGGGAAACTTGGGTGGTGAGGTTATGAAACTGGAGGGGGAGGAGTACATAACTTGAGAGCTGATATTGGGAGTAACTGAAGACTATTAATGGAGATGTGAAACGATGGGGGAATCCAAATAAGGGCATGATATTGGGGAGTATAGCAGGGGGCGGGGAAACTGGGGCAGAAGTTTCAGGGTGGTGAGATGGGTACAGTGAAGAGTTGGGATATTGGGCACAGTGTGTGTGCAGGGAACGCGGGCTTTGAAAACAGGACAGCAATATCCCGCAGGGGGAGCGATGGGGGTGCGCATGGGCCGGACTGAAACCTATCAGCCTTGTAGCCGCGCACTCCGCGCTAGGCTATCGCTACCCGCAGTAACCTGTGCCTTACCCGCGCTCTCCCGCAGGACTATTCGCCGCTCTCCGGCCAGAAGCGATGGGCCCTGGGGCCTGCGCCCTTCTCCGGCTCGGTCCACTGTGCAGGGCGGCGACATCCCCAGCTCTGCAGCGCGGAGTTAGAAGCGAGCGCCGCAGTATGGAGGCCGCCATCTTGCTCTGGGCAGGTGATGGGTCAGCTGACCCAGCCGCGGCTGTGGCGCCTCCTGGGAAATGTAGTCTCTCGGGGGGAAATTGCGGGGCGGAGAGGGGCAGGGAAAACTACAACTCCCGCCAGGCCAAGCGAAGCCAACTGCTCCCGTTCCCGCTCCGCCCCTCTGCCCTGGAGTCCCGCGGGGAGGATCAAGGGAGTTGGTCGCTCCCACGGATGGTGACCCAGGGAAGGCCCAGGGCTGTGTCTGTGCTGGAGAAGGCGCCTCACCTGATGCACAAGCAACCGCCGCCCTGCTCCCCGAACTGAGATTTGGATCCAGAGCCCCAAAGCTCAGGCTCCAGGGATTTGGGACTTACCCGTACAGATATGGAGCCAGTCGGGCTCCAGCTCCTTGTAGAGTTCCCATCCAGATACCTGGACTTCACTTTGAAAAGATTGTGCATCATAAATTCTCATCATCTCTCTCCCTCTGGCCTTCTATCTCAGATCAGCTGCAAATCGGCCTCCTCCTACTCTGAGCCCATACTCAACTGCTCTGGATTGTTATCTCTGGGGAAGGGCCAGTCTAACGAAACTGTGTTTTATAATCAAAAGCCTCCTGGCCCATAAGATTGCCAGTTAACCCCTCTCAAAGGACAGTTTCACACGGTGCCAAAAGACATTAGTGCATTGCATCAAAATATCTTGCTGTAACATTAAGAGGTTTCACAAGCCTTGATACTTGATTCTACAGTGCTTGCAGTATGCAGGCTCATCCTATGTAAAATAACAGCAATCCTGGAGATCCTAGAACAGAAGGCAATCCCAATACCTTGATTTATTTATAGTTATGTACTTATTTTAATTTAAATCACTTAAACACTCATAATGCAAGCTGCTCTGTGGCTAACCCCTGGCTCCACACAGGCAAAGATAGAGCAACTTGTGCATGGGCCTTACATTGACAGTCTTTGGGGAAGTCATGTCATCTCTCTCTGCCCCTCCCACCCTGTGTCCATCTTGTTTGTTTAGATTATAAACTCTTTGGGACGGACTGTTTTATTACATGTAAGATAGCACAATAGGGCCATGATCAGGGTAGGGCCTTGAGGGCTACTGTAATACAAATAAATAATAACAATAATCGTCCATTGTCACATACTTATGCAAACATCACAGTTGCTAGTTATACAGCTACAGGGCATGGAGAATAGAATTAACAACTCTGTTCTAGATCACAGGCCTGTGGAGCTTAAATGGGAATAGTCATTAGCTGTTGTTTATATCATTTTTTGTAGGCCAACTGCTAGGAAAAGAGAATCAGTCACAAACATTTGAGCAGGTCTGATTTCATCCAGTAGAGGACAGTGGTACACATAGACACCAGCTAGTATTTTGCAACCCTTATGCCTCTCATCTTGCCAAACCTCAAAATAGAATGCAAGGAAGTTGTGACTGCAAAAAACTCAGAAAACTGTGGAGGGTAAATTATTTAGCAAAGATAGCATGTTCTATAATTTTGGTTCCATAGTTCTGGTTTTTATATATAAATAATTAAAAAGTGAATTAGTGAGGTGAGAAGGATATTAATTAATTTTAAGAGAGAGCTGAACAAATTTATGAGTGCTGTGGTATGACAGGGTTGATTGTGATGGTGAGGGGCAGGGCTCAACAGGCTTACTTCCAGTTTATGTCTTATGTTCCTAGAGCTCATGCTTCAGGGTTTCAGCCGGCCACTGTCAGGGTCAGGAAGGGATTTCCCTCCCCCCACCAATGCATTCTGGGAGGTTTGTTTTTTTTTCTAACTGATTGCCATAAGTGGGATCAGGAAAGAATTTCCCCCAGGTCAGATTGACAGTGACCTTAGAGGTTTTTTGCTTTCCTCGCTAGTCTGAGTACAGGTCACTTGCCAGATTATCTGGGTATCTCAGTTAATCATTTCCCTGCCACTCTGGGAGCCTCGGGCACTCAAGCACCTTGATCCCAGCTATTTGCTGCCTGTGATGCATAACAGGCGAGTCTCCTGGGGATTGTAATACTTTGGACTCGTTTCAGTTGGGCTTAGTATGTTGGTACTGCATGGTGTAGGTGGTCTGTGATGTGCAGGAAGTCAGATTAGATTATCCCTTCTGGCCTTAAATTCTGTGACTCTATGTTCCTTGTAAAAAGTACCATTTGAGAGGTATGCGTAGTAGGTATTTATTTCTATTTATTTGTACAATCCAGAATTTTGGGAGTGCTGGTTTCTGGGATTATTCCCATTATCCCCGCAAAAACTGATGAGCGGAAAATAATGAGGCAAAATAAAAAAATCCTTGCAGCAAAGATGTACTGGACACAGCAGCTCAGTGTCACTTTTGGAAGAAAGAAGGTCCATTGTCCCTGTGCATCATCCCCTGCAGTAGTGCCCTGGGATGTTCAGATTCCCTAACTTGAATTGCAGATCAGTGCTGTTTAATCAGTAGTTTTATTTTTAAAGTTTTATTTTATTTATCTTGCAATAAACTCTGTATGGACAGACTCCTGGTCTCCTATGGGCCCCCTTGGAGCTGAATGGGGCTCCATGCAGGTGCAGGGGTCAGCCCCTGGCAAACTCATTGGAGGATGAGGCTTTAGTGCAATCAAGTGATATTTTGATAACAAGTTCATTCCTTTCACCATTGTCTCCAGAAGTTCGTCTGGATTTTATAATTATTTGCTGCTTTATAGGGAGTGGTAGGTAAAAGTAGACACTTCTGAATGTGGTGGTTATGTTTGTACCAGTGGGAAAATGGCAAGTTTTTGGCTATTGTACTTTCTTTTAAGCCCAATATTGTGGTGTAGTAGAAGATTTCACAAATAATAAGTAAGAAGTTAAAACCTTATGAATATTAAAACCATGCTAGGTAAAGCCCCGCATTGCTATGCTCTAGCTGATTTCTCCTCTTTGAGTATATAATTGAAAAAGGGAAGGGGCCACTTAATAGGATGAAAAGGGCATCCACCTTCCACACCTCAACAACCTTCTCATCCCCCCAAAAAAACTCAGTGGCTTTTTCCACTTAAATAGTAGTTTTGGAAAAGACCCAGTGTTTGTGTTTCAAGCTGCCCCACACACCCTCTTGCTTCCTTTCCCAGAAAATCCCATTTTTAAAAATCTTTCTGATTGGCCCTCTTTCACGCACATGATGCTGATCAATTGCAGGCAAGCAGGGAATAACTGTCTTTCCCAGCAGATTGCTTTGAGGTAAAGGGCTCCGTGTTTTTTGTTCCTTTGGACCCTAGTCAGTGACATTCACTTTACAATGTGTTTATAGATCATGTCCTGCCTTGGAATAGCAGGGTATCTCCAGTGTTGCATAAAGACTCGCATGACAGTAGATCTGTACTAACCATGTAGGCTTCCCTATTGGTGAGAGCCCAAGGGTCAGTTTTCTGTGAATCTGAACTTCTTATTACTATTGGAATGTAGCTAATGCCTGAGAGGAAACTGGAATTTCATGTAGGACAAAAGCCCTACTTAGTATATCATCTAAACCATACACACCCACTTATTTGAAAGAGGATCTTCCTGAATTTCAGTTTAGAGGGTTTGACCGCTCTAAATTTTGCTTTCTTGTAAGCTATGTTTAGCATGCGTTCTTATCCCTTTTGTGGACTGGGAGATCTCCCTGTAGCGTATCAGGGAATGGGGTATTCAGGCCCAAGTATTTGTTGGATGGCTCACAGGCTGTCTGCAGTGTCTTATTTCAGCATGTGGAATAAAAACAGGCAGGAGCTTCTGTTATATTCTGAAGTGGAGGGTGTGGCTTTTGGAAGAGTGGATCCCATGTCTATTGAAAACCAAATGTCCTACAAGGAAAAGGAATTAAGATGATTATTGAGTATGGAAACCAACTATGGTAAGGGATGTTTTCAGGCTTCTATACCTCCTAAAACCACACCTGTATCTTGTTTTTCTCTACAGGTATAACAAGGAAGACTCTCCTCACATCCTGCAATTTTCAGCTAGTAAGTACAAGGATTTTTCATAACAGATCAGTCCATGGTCCAACTCATCATGCTTCCTGCAGTGACCGATATTTTTTGCCACCTTCTTCTAAAGTAAAAAAATAGTTAACCAATTAGGCAATATCTTATATTAGGAGAAGGGAGGGAGGGCATTTTTTCCTGACCACAGCAAATAAGCAGCTAAAATAGTTGCCTTGTATGATCCACTAATCAAGTCTCTGCATGCATGCACACACGCTGAGGTAGGTGGGTGGTATGGGCCTCCAGGTTTGAGGGGATCTTCTAACAAAGCATGGAAGAGTATAGCAATAAATGAAATAGTATTCTTTACTGGGGCAGTGAGTGCCTCATCTCACTAGTTTGTTTTATTAAAAGTGCTACTACTGATCATAAAAAGGTGCCAAGCTAAACTAAGACAAAAAGCTAACAAAAATATATTGGCCATCAAATTATACAATGAACACAACACTAACAAAAAAGTCAGAAGGTGGGTCAAGTAGTCCTCACAGGCTGTGTCATAGGATGTGCCTCTGGTACGAAGATCCCTGGCCTCACCCTGCAGCAGTTCCATGCGGACTTTTACATTCCAAATGAACATGTCAGGGTGGGTGTGTGTATATTTTGTATTTGAGGTTAATTTAACTTGGTTGGAAATAAGATCATTGGCTCCATCCTTTAATTATCTGAGTGCTGTTTTTAATAGGTTGGAGGCCCTGCAATTTGCATTCTATGCAACCCTAAGTTTGGAAAATAATATCTGGCAACTGTATAAGATAATCGCCTGTGACACAATGCCCTCCTTATGTTTCAGTTTACTTGGGTAGGGCAGAGGTACTGTTGTCCTCACTGCACCTGTGGAAGCCATCAGACTATTCCCTATGGTCAAATTCACAGATGGCATAAGTGGGCACAGATCCACTGTTTTCACTCAACAATGAGTAGAGCTTCAGCCATATCTAACCTAGTATCTCTACTAACCAAGTAGAACCAAACACCCCTCCTCCTCCAGAAAGGTATTCAAATATTGTGG